TATTTTTGAAGGTGTATAGGTAATATTTTAGTGTATTTTTGAAGGTGTATATAGGTAATATTTTGGTGTATTTTTGAAGGTTTAAATGTGATATTTTAGTGTATATTTGAAGGTGTATATAGGTGATATTTTGGTGTATATTTGAAGCTTTAAATGTGATATTTTAGTGTATTTTTGAAGGTTTAAATGTGATCTTTTGGGTGTATTTTTGAAGGTTTAAATGTGATATTTTAGTGTATTTTTGAAGGTTTAAATGTGATCTTTTTGGGTGTATTTTTGAAGGTTTGTAATATGTGATATTTGGGTTTATTTTAAAGGTTTATATGTGACTTTTGCGTGTTTTTTTGAAATGTTTTAATATATTTGATATTTTTTAAGGTTTTTATGGTAAAGATGACATTGAGAGGTTAAAGATTGATACAGTTACTGGTCTAATGAATGATTTTTATCCACTGGCGTTCCAAGCTCTGTATTATGAGAAAGATGAACAAATAAAGGTTTGAATACAAAATTACTGGCTTTCTCTAGATCAGTCTGACAAAATACAGCTCTATTATGAATGAGTGAGTTTACCCTGAAAAAAAAGTTTGACGAATGGGTATTTTCTCAATATTGTTCTTTATCATTCGGCAATCGTCGACAGTTTCCGTAAAGCTTTGTCTGTTGCAGAGCGCCGGAACCTTCGCAGTAGTCCGTAAAATGCACTATGGTAATGTTGGCGATATGCAATGTCAGGGGCGATAGGCCTAACTTGCCTTCCAATAAAAATCAGTGTATGTAAGCAGTAAAGCACAATATATGTCGGTTTTGGTTGCATCCATCCATCGGATATTTTCCAAGAAATACGACCCGATTCAGTAGGCCTAAGCGTCGATCACAAAAAGCATAAATAACATTATGAATTGTTTCACATTGTAGGCCAAATTACAAGAAAGGCTATATTCGGAAGATATTCCCAAGTTTTACACAACACTGGAAAAAATACTAGCAGAAAATAGAACGGGATATTTTGTGGGCTCCAGTGTAAGTAACAAAGCCTTCTTTGGGGATAAATAGCAATTATTGACCCTATTAGTATTCCCAGCACCTCTTTCAACGTCTGCTATATAGGTTTAAGGTATTGTCAATATGATACAGAAATTATAACAGAAAACACAAGGGAATATATTATGGTATAACACACTTCTTTCATAACAGAGTACTAAACGTTTCAACACAATTTGCATGTGTCGTCGTCAAATTAAACGAAGAAAGAGAGTAAACACATGTAAATTGTGTTTAAACATTATGTACTCTGTTATTAAAGAAGTGTGTTATGACATAATATATTCCCTTGTGTTTTCTGTTATATGTTGTCTCAGCTTCCAGATGTCGTTCAAATCTACTACAGAAATTATTAAATTGGCTCTGATGTCTGAGAGACAGAGACCCATGAGCACCATCCGGTCCCGTATTAATTTATACTGTTTTTTAAATGAATATTTCAGCTTTCTCTCGCTGATATTGAAATATATGATGCTACCACCATGCTTTTATCTTTTAATTCTGATATCATTAAAGACTATGATTTGGTACAACAGATCGTGAAGAAAGTTGAACAGCATTCTAATCTTGTTAAATAAATTATTCATGATTATTAAATTCGTGTTTATCTCCTTATTTTAATTATGACCCTCGATCACACAACACCCCTTAATTATCCGTCCCCAGTAACACAAAATTAGAAACTTTAATTTATGTAGCCGAAAATACAACAAATAATAATATGTACAATATCAAAATTATTTTAAAAAACTCTAGTAATAAATGGATTAATAAATAAACTAAGGAAATTGTATTCAACACATAACAATCCGCTTACATGAGATTTCAAACTCAGAAACAAAGGTCGTGGGCAAAAGTAGAGTTGACTGTACAAAGTTTACTAAACTAATGACCAAATACCAAGACAGAAGAAAACTATTTACAAGTGATCACTAAATTGTAAGAGAGATTAAATGGGCCAGAGAACTGAATCTGAGTAAAATTATAATGAATTGTAATTAAACTGAACAAAATTATAATGAATTGTTATTAAACTGAACAAAATTATAATGAATTGTTATTAAACTGAACAAAATTATAATGAATTGTTATTAAACTGAACAAAATTATAGTGAATTGTAGCCTAATTAAACATGAATTAAACTACCAATGAGAAGATGTTACATATGAAGACTAATAATTAATTATTTTAAATCTAAAATATTAAAATTGGTAGGGGTTCGCCATCCGTTTGACCAATCGTATTTTCTTTAGTCAGCTAATCAATAATAGCCTAGTGTTTACGTTTCACTGTCGAAATAAGAGCCTTCAAATCCATGCGCGTTTGAATGTTAAAATCACGTCTTGTCTTTTCTTGAGACTCCGCCATATATTTCATAGGCATACATGGTGTAGCCCAACACTTTACTATCTTTCGGACAGTCCGCATTGTGACCCTTCGGTCCAATACCATTACCCGAGACCCATACAAACATCCAATTCACAATAAACATTTCAACAGTATAGTCTATGTAGGCCTATTTTCTACGGTCGAATAGTTACAGAGAAGGCCCTTCTTGACTAAACTTCACTCTGGAGTATCCTAAATTTTAACCCAACGACAACATCACAGAATTCCAAGATGGTGGTGTATCGTCTGCATTATTTTGATTTCGCTGGTCGCGCCGAGATAGCGAGGTTGTTGTTTCATGGAGCCGAGAGGGAGTTTGATGATGTGAGGTATACAGAGAAAGAATGGGCTGAATTTAAACCCAGTAAGTTATTTAGGTCACATATATATCACGAATGAATGACACGCTAGCCCTTTTTGTAGGCCATAAATGTATAGGCCTAATGTAATATTTAATCGCTGATGTGAACTCATATATAATTTGGAGTTGTTTCGATGTCAATATTAATTTCCTTGCAAAACGACAAAATTTATAAATGTCGATTTGTGAAAGCTCATTTGTAGAAAATACATTTGTCTAATTGTAAAAGTTTAAATGTATATTGATAATTTTGAGATTGATTTGTAAATGTTCATTACAAGTTCAATTGTCAATTTGTCAACTTTAAAAATATAGAAATGTATACGCTCTCGCTGATGAAATGAGATGTGTGAAATGTTGATTGTACTTAATGTAGATGTTACACTAATTATTGTCAGTTTGGATCGAGCGATCGGTCGTTTTGCAAGGAAATTGATATTGACATCGAAGCAATTCCATAATATAAGTCTATGATTTAATACAGTGGCAGAACCTTCGCAGCCCCGAATATAAGTTTTTCGCTCTCATAACTAGGTTAGAAATTCGGGCAACCTCAGATATCCCCCCACCCCCCTTATTTGTACTTGCAACGTAAAATTCTTTCCGCGACTGTAGATGAGTAACTCCGTTCAGTGTGCACGAGGGGAAATTAACATTAACGTATTCTTTATCGATTTCGAATTATGTGCGGTGTTTAAAGGGGCCGAGTGGCATCTATATAGAAATAGAAGGTGAAATTCCTATAGTTTGAGGTATTATTAAAGGAGTTATGCGATCTGTGTACATTTCTATAGATTCACGACCAAAATCAACACCGATAATGGCGATTCAGTTCCTTTAAGGGGCCTATTTTTATTGTCCCACTAGCCAAGACACTATTTACATGTCAACCCTGTACTATGGATGTTTGAAATTGATGAAGACCGTGTTCTTACACCCTCGCCTAAAATCTCTTTTTCTACCTTCAGAAACTCCGTTCGGTGTACTACCAGTTCTAGAAATTGATGGTAAAATGTTTGGTGAATCACATGCTATTTATAATTATCTAGCTAAACAATTTGGTAAGCTGATTTACCCTTTATAATTATACTCCCTCGTTAAGTCGTGGGAAGACCAAAAAATTGAAATTTTTAACTTGGCCAAATGGAGTCTTTGTTCAACAGTGGACTTACCTGGTGTCATAACTATACAACAAAATCCCTCTATAATCAGATAAATACATAAAACTAAGTAATAATTCATTGAACTAGGTAATTTTACTAATTATATTTAGTGTAAGAGATATATCATCTTCTATAGAGATTCTAGTCATGGCATCTGGTAAGTTCAACTGATGATGAATATATACTCTTAAGTTTGAGACTTTTATTTTCTGTCCATTCTAAGGTAGTATTACTTGAAATCCTTTACACACAAATGATCAAATATCATATATTTATTACTGAAAGGACTTATGAAGTGGTCAATGAGGCGAATTGTGTCAAAACGTGTACGCTTCTATTATACACGATATCAAATGAAAAAATGCATCATATTTTTGATTTTTATATAGGATTTTATGGTAACAATAACTTAGAGCAACTAGAAATAGACGTAGTTATGAGTTTGATGAAGGAAATGGAACCGTTTATACTGGAAGCCTTCTTTGAAACTCCGGATGAGAAAAAGAAGGTATTGATAATTACCACCATTTCATTTTAATGTTTAAACGTTTATCCCTGCATCGATATCCTGGCCACTGATTTTGATTCTCTGAGGACTTTTTCTGGACCAATGAAATCCATATGCCATTGGGGGCCTGTAGTTGCGAATTGACGAGGTGTCCGGTCCGGTGAAAGGTGCGGGAGTATTAATATAATAGTTACATCTATAATAGACGCGCGATTTGTACACCGGGCTGGACACAGAGCGACGTCGCTCTTACTTTTGGTACAAAATCACAATTTTTTACAAATATTTTTTTTTCTGATATGACATATTAGTCTTCATATTGTAATCTTAATAGATTTCTACTAAAGGCCCGTTCCGATGATGATATTTTCAACTAATAAAAACATGTTATTTAAAACCCGAATCTGGATATAATAAATGATAATAGGATATATAGCGACGTACTGTTTGTTTTTTAGGAAGAACTGATAACGAGAGGATTCAAGGAAAATATTCCTGCTTATTTGAGAAAAAATGAAAAGATTATGCAAGACAGTGGTTATTTTGTTGGTGATAAGGTAAGTAATAAGCCATACACTAAATTTTAAAGAAATACAGGCGTCTTATTATTCAAATTACATATTTAACAGAAAATATACTAGCTTTAACACTTTGTAAATTGAAAATCCCAGTTCGTCTACAATGCAAAAACTGACGAAAATGACAACAGCTTAATCCGAGACAATTTTAAGCTAATTTTGAAAAAAGAGCGTTGATGTCCATTAATTATTGTTAACTGACGTCATCATCTGCCATTACGTGCAGTCCTTTTATGTAGGAATATATAGGCGAGCAAGATATGCTGTGGGTGCGAACATGGAGGATTCTATGAGTCAGTAGAATGCTGTGGCGGCACCAGCCTCCCGAGACTGAGGGTACAAATAGGGGACAGACCGACCCAATAGGGGGACAACTGTCGAGACTGAATTCAAAATGCGGTAAGTCTGCGAGGTGTCATAGTGGCAAGCTCCTCATACTCATAGAGCGTCTGAGAGGTTCCCCACTGGTACCGTTAATATTAAAGTACAATCAATGAATTGTTTTTCAGTTGTCTTTGGCCGACATAGCTGTTTATGATCTTACAAATTTCTTTATGAGAAGAGATCCTAACCTGATGACACCCTATCCTAAACTATCAGCCAGTAGAAAACTAATAGAAACTTATCCTGGAATAGCAGCTTACATCAAATCTCGACAAAAATAAAATTTATTTTAAAATCTTAACTGTCAATTAAACTCAGGAATACCGGTGTTGTTGTTTTTTTTTCACAAACAACCCCTCCCCCTCCCCCTACGCGATAAGTGCGTAGTTTTAGTGGAATTGCAGGAACCACAGACGTTTGATTGTAAAATTCGAATGATGAAAATTAATGCTATGAGTGTCCCCGATACACATAAGAATTTTAAAAAACCTCTTTACAATCTCTTTAAAGAATGGACGAGCTTAATGACACGTGCGATCCTAAGCTTCTGAAATGGGTATTTGTGAGGAACTAGTGTCACATTACGAAACACCACCATACACTTGTGTCTCTCAAACCTCTCATTGTTACTCATTCTTGGACGTTTCACTGCAACTAAATCTGAGAAGATTCTAGTCTTGTAACTTCACTATAATTCTCAATATCGTCATCACCAAAAATTGTCGGTTGTTCCCCTTGCAGATTAACTTCTGTATCATTATCAGGAGCTCGTTTAATGTGTGTCAGTGAAAAATCGGCATCTACATCTCGAGTTTGTGGAGAAGAAACTATGTTTGGTTGATTGTTTTCGATGTTTCTCGTATCTGGTATTGAAGATGAGTCAATGACGGTCTCCAAGTTCCTATTTTCATTATCATAATGTTTATTGGAATTCACGTCCCCTCTAGCAGGAGTAAAATCCTGTATTGGTAATTCGGGAACTCCATTATCTGACACCATACCCGTATTATCATAGGTGATTCGTGTCGCATTTGTGGTGTCAGACGTCACAGATTGGTAGATATGTAGATCATGATCGTGTCTTGCCGTATTTGCGTATGTTTCTTCTCTTTTTTTCTTCACCAAGCTGGAAATACAATGGATTGAGGTACCAGTAATCGAATCAAAAATTAGTCCTCGATCACTGGCATGAGCCATGAAATTATGATTGACCTTTAGTTTGGTCCTCCAATGCGCAAAGATCAATCAACCTATTGACAAGTTTACGAATTCAACCTGACAAACCATTTAAAGGGATTGTTCATTTTGTATATGTATCGGGGACACTAATAGCATCGTTTTGCACCATTCCAATTTTCAATCGGGCGTCTGTAGTTCTTGCAATTTAACTAAAACAATAAGCAAATCCCTATATATGTATAACAAAATATTGCTGGCATATTTGGTATTCCAGAATTGAACATGTGCAATAACTCTGTCTTACTTACCAAACTATTATTATTATTATAATCAGAATAAGGAGTATAACACCTATCACTATACCAACTATTGCTGTAATAATAATGGAAATACCGATTAAACATACTGCAACAAAATCATATGGGTAGCAGGGGTTGGTTGCAGCTGGCTGATGATACACGCAAGAATTAAGACCTATTAACTTTTAGGGTTATGTAGCACAGACGACTAGTGTTTTTAGCTTTACCTTTCCATGGTGGTCGTGAGTTCTAATCTCGGTCGGCGTGCGAAAGTCTACTTTCTTATTATTCCAGTTGACCCAGATCACTGTCAAGGAGAGGTTTGGGCAAGCAAAGTTCATCGGGTAGAAATGAGATGAAGTGAAAGGTGCTACCTTAGTTTAAAAGATGGCTGTTTTCATCTTTACTTCTTTCGTATTTACTCTAAAATTAAGCCTACCTCCTGCACCTAGTCCTGTATCCCCGTTTCCATCATCAGCTGGGCTTGTAGATATAGATGTACCAAGAGTCGTTTGACCAGTCACACCTGGTACTCCCGTATTCAATAGTTCATAACATTCTAAGATTAATGTTGAGTTATCTAAAAAAATCGTTCTTGAGTTTTATTACGGTACTTGTGGCTATCACTGAGGCACATATTGTTTCCATGAGAACTCATTTAGATTTTCGAAAACAAGTGGCGCCATACGGGTTGTTTTCATTCCAATTTTCGTGGATAAATTTCTGGTGGCAATGGGAATAACGCATCATACGTCATTTGCTCATGATATCCAATATCACTACCTAAACCTAACATAGTCACTTATTATCATTGTTGACAATCAAAATGGCTTCAAGCTTTAAAAAATAACCTCAAAACTAGGTTACGCCTACATGCCTGTGCCTGTGCTTTCGTAACATTGCTTAACCCCAATGGTACAACCCAAAATTCCCAAAACTAGTGCACCTATTGTGTCCTATCTTATCCGTATCGTTGTTAGCAGCCATAGAAGACACGCATCGTGACGGTGCAAATAGCCCTTGCGATTTAAAAATTATTAAGAAAAATTCACGACGAACCAAAGAAGGCATGGAAATATGAAAAACTAAGACAAGCTTTGTTGCTTTGGTTCAAGAAATAAGTGTGATTGATGGTTACCTGTGTAGGAATGTACAACTAGATTAAAATCGAACAAATCAGCATCCGAATTCGATTCCAAGGCAATAGTTAAAACGTTTCCTGGATTTAGAGTAAAATATTGTTCCTTAAAATCTTTGCAGGAATAATTACGTCTAATGGAATTTTCAGTCACAAAGAAATTAAATTCACAGGAATTCGAAAACCATTGCCTGTGAAATCCAATATTGTAAGAGTCTTTTTTCGAGTATTCTGGTAAAGAAACGTCACATTGGCACTGGGTTACGTCACGTTCATCGCGTGATAGATATACAGTTTTACCAAATTCTGTTTGATTGCTGCAGACGTGTACTGAAAAGTTAAAAAAGGTTTGGGATTAGAATTTCCCCTTTAAAAATACTTCAAAATTTTACTCACTATTTCTATATTTTTCTTTTCTATATATCACAGAGTATCTTAAACTAGATGACAAGTTCAAGCGCGGATAATTCTGGACACACATGGATTTGAAAGCATTTCGACGGTGTGCTGTGAACACTATTAGCCTACTTATTGGCTTAGCTAAGAAATGCCTTTTTCCTTGACTAAGGTATGACTGGTAAAAAAACGGCGCAGCTGTCCCTTCAATATCTTACACAGTGGCTCAACTAGATGAATGGGTACCCGTGAACTTAAGTAATGGGCCTAAGTAAATGGCTCTTCCCTTAGAATATTTGTTAGAATAATATGCTTTCTTGCATTCTGAAATCCCTCTGTAAGTGAATATAATGCCTGTTAAAGGAAGATTTAAAGATTTGGTAATTCTGTCGCGCGTTGCCTAGTTTTGTCATAATTGTATACTGATGGTACATTTTTCTGGGGGTAGTCCAGAAGGGATGGAGGGCCCGTGGACTTCGTTCAATCAGTCCCTATGCTAGTTAAATACTGATGTTACATGAAATGTCATGCCGAAAATAATTATAACATATCGTTAAGTACATTCTTGTATTGTTGTAATGGCTATAATAAGAAAGAAAGTGGGTGTGAGTCTAGTCCCATTTTTTTGTCAATGATCTATTATACTTAAAATAGGGCTTACCTAAATATTTTTTTTTTTAAGTAAGATCCAAAGTATCGATATTTTTGTAACCTTATGGATGGTAAAGCTGGATTAAAATCGATTTTTAGTGATTGCCCAATCAAATAACTGACACCCATCCTAATTTAAGTTTTTAAACGAGCCCTAAATGATTATTTTGTAAAGGAAAAATTCACTAACCAATAATATTACGTCCTGAGGGCTGATCTTTTAGAACTCCTACTTGTGACAATCCCAAGGGTCCATTGGTGGTAATCTTGGGGGTTTAATGTACCCCGCCCCTCTTCTAACCCAATTCATTCCTACTGTAATGGCATAGATCATAGACCCTATTATAAAGATTCGTAGTGGTACACGTAGACAATATAGCCTACTGATTGAATACATTATAGAAGTAGGCTATTTATCAAAGGCACACTTACTTGAGGTGACAATACAAACACATCCATTTAATATCAAGATCGATATGTAACATCCAATATTCATTTCCTTAGCCTATATCCAACAACTTCCCACAGAAAGAATTTTATTTTATTTTACTTCCCTGTATGTTAAGGATGGTATATAATAACTTCTACACTGATTTGGTCTATTGAACAGAAGTTCTAATAATACACCCTAGTTAAAATTAAAAAGGTTCTACATATTTTGAGTAAAGAATGCGGATAAACTCCAATAACCCCATCTCACTATGGGCAGCAATCTACGCGCTCGGAAGGAGCACCAAAGATCTGCTCAGGATAGGGCGGTATAAGGTTAAATTACGATCCGATAATGCTCCTGTTGCATTTCTATATTCTTCCATTCTATTAGATCCGATAGCGACCTCGTGGTCCTTGGTTGCCACCCAATTCTCCAAAAATTTTGCGACCTTGCACGAGCAGTTTTAGCTCCGTTGGCAATCAAAGGCGAATTAGATACGATCCAAGGGCGATCCCTGAGATCTATGGTGCTCAAGCTAGATCTGATAGCGATCTCGGCCACCTAGGAAAGTCCATCACGCTCAATTAGGCGATAATACCCCGTTCCACCAGGCGGCGATCACAGGTTGGCACATAGAGAGCCACGATCGCCAGAACTGCCACCTGATATCAGATCTACATGATCGCCAAGGTCGCCGTCGGACTTCTCCCTATAACACGCGTGGCTCTCTGTCCAGAACTCCATAATATCGCTTGATGATAGCCTAAATCGCCATCGGAGGCCTACTTGAGCGCCTGATCAATTTCAGCATTACGTTTCTGATAGTCACGCATTCATAGGTCAGTAATTAGCTAGAGGTTTTGGGACGAGGGATCGGGGTCTTTTTTCAAGGGAGTTCATCAAGACGTAAGCCTAGGCCTACTGCAATTCGAAATGGTAAAGATGTAGGCTACTCCACCACTGCTGATTGAAGTGTGCTATTCTGAGAAGTTAAAACATTGATAAAGATTGAATTAACTTAATGTAGGACAAACCCCCTAATAAAACAGTTTCAGTTAATATTCTTGCTTTATTTGGTGGTGAAATGGAACCACAATGGCATACTAGTTGGTAGATCACAAGTTGTAACGACCGATTATAACAGTACCGGTACATTTTTGACGTCATCAGACGTCAACATTTTGCCGGGCAGTGAAATACATTTAACCTTAAGGAATCCCCGAAGCTAACGTATAGTTGTTACACTCATATTTATGTTTTGCTAGCTTTTTTAGATATTGTCTCGTAATGGAAAAGGTTTGTACATAACATCGTTGTGGTCTGGATCTGCCACTAAATAGAGTTACCTTGCTTTGCAACTATGGCCGATAAGTCACCGACAGAGATGAGCAAAAGTCGATTTCAAGTGATTTTAGATAAATGTAACAATTTCTACAGATCAGGTAAGGTATAATCTGATACATTGTACATAGTTCTTTATGATCCTATTCATGGCTTCCTCATTCAGTGCATAGAATTTACAATAATAATCTATTTGTGATGTGTTTCCTCTTCAATGACTTCAATTTCAAACACAGGCATCCGTCAATATTGTACTCTAATGTCCAGTAACCGGACTGAAGATTGCAACTTAAGGGGGAGAATATCTTGAACAACAAAATGACATGAATGAATAGCAGCTCAATTGCCTTGATTTATTTATAATTAAGTCTGCATTTTCATGTATGTACCAATAATTTCTTATTACATGTTTCTCAAATTACAAATGCCTCTCAAATTACAAATGCCTCTCAAATTACAAATGCCTTTGTTGCAGGGTTATCGAATATTTACCATAGACATAATCTTAACTGTTGATATTTCAAGTGTTTCACTCTATCACTGTAAACACTGTAGATTAGCTTAATATTTCTCAATGAATTGACCTTTTTCTTACATTCAGCTTGTATTATAATCAGTGAAGTATTTAGTAGGTGAGCCATTAGGCCATGTCCACCTCCCCTCAGACCTGTAACAGATCTTGCTTTGCAGTGAAAAGCCCTGTAAATGCTCAAAATTCATCTCAGGTCAACCATGATTGATTCTACTCTGTAAGGCCCTGTAATGATGAGTCTGTCAAGTGAAATGAGTGTCACAATTAATTTTCATGGAAAGTCTTCAGATCTATAGAAACTATAATTTTTTTTGCATAAACAACATAAGACCCACCTCAGTTTAGATGCTTCAGGATATGTCGGGTGACCAAGTCATTTTTCGTCATTATAGATAGACCTTATTCACACCTCGTTTTTGAGACAATGAAAGCGAGGTTCATAACGCAAATAACGTCATCCATTGAAAATGGTGACGTCATATTAATGAATAGTCTTTAAGACATCACTGAACACCTGATCAACAGCGAGAAAATGGGTTGAAAACTGCCCTTTCTCAGAAATGTGTGAAGATAAAATTCATCTGAAAGTATCATTAAATAGCTTATTTAATTCCCAATTTATTGATGTAAAATATGATTAGTTTAGAGTTAGTGGAATTGGAGGAGGAAGCTTAAAAGACGTCAAGGTGGTGATTTGACTGCAGTGACACTATGTTACCTGTGTTTGTGTTATGAGCTGCATTCTGGACACGTGAATAAGGTCTATTACAGATGACATAGCTGTAAATGGATACTGATATTCCAGTAAGGTCAATGCCCTGAGCTCCAGCTGGTAGAGAGGATTGTCAAAAATCTAAGTTCTTTCTTTCTTAAATTTTGGGATATTTTATTAGATCAAAACGTATATTTATTCAGAATCTTCAGCTAGCAGATGTGCTGTATTTTGTATTGATGATGAAAAAGTTGGTTTGATACGACCAGAATTTGTAGTTGAATTGAAGAAATATACAGATGTATTTCTGTATGAAGAAGGGAAAGGTTTTAAACGAGAAATATTACGAGTTTTACCAGATCTTAATACTCCAGAAACCCGAAGTAAACAAATCGAACATGTTCTACAAGATCTAAGAAAAAGAAATATATTCTGTACTCTGAGAGGTTGGAGAGATGAGGTAAGCTGTCCTCTTCACTTTTTGCAAATTTCAAATTACTAACATAATCTACATCTAAACTGCTTGGCACAATCTAAATTATGTTAAATCTACCTTACTATGATAGCAGACAAAGCATATATATGGAAGCTTTTTACTTTATAATTGATTAAAACAATCACAAAATAGTTTCACTGTTAAAATAGTGTTCAATACATCAATTGTAGAGTGATATAGAAATACCACTGTTAAAATAGTGCTCAATACATCAATTGTAGAGCAATATAGAAATACCACTGTTAAAATAGTGCTCAATACATCAATTGTAGAGTGATATAGAAATACCACTGTTAAAATAGTGTTCAATACATCAATTGTAGAGTGATATAGAAATACCACTGTTGAAATAGTGTTCAATACATCAATTGTTGAGTGATATAGAAATACCAGTGTTAAAATAGTGTTCGATACATCAATTGTAGAGTGATATAGAAATACCACCTGAATATATCAATTGTAGAGTGATATAGAAATACCACAGTTAAACTAGTACTCAATACATCAATTGCAGAGCCTGCATCTCTACTGGAGTTGGACAAATATTACTTTTTCTGTCTACACTTCGAGACACCTTCAAAATGTTTGTTAAAAGACGTGTGCTTGATATTAGATATGGAATAAACAATACATTTGAATAACCACCCACCAACCATTCCATATATATATATATATATTACATAATAGGACAATGGAAAGTAAACAATAGATTCTGAAGGCCAGTGTAACAGTTGTATGATAAGAGTAATGATTAATAGTGTTAAATTAAATGACCATAAAATTTTCGAATAAGCATAAAGCTAAATATTGATTTTCTACATTGTGACATTTTAAAGGGACAGATGCACCATTTATTTTGACCAATCATACTTTAGTCTCAGAAACGGGAATTTTAGCTATGCCAATCAGTAATAGTGTTCACAACTCATCCTCGAAATGATCTGCATTATATTTTTAGGCGACAATCTTTCTTCTCTGGTGTATAAGCTAGGACTGGGTGATATACTGGTGTAGGAATTTATATGATCATTTGGAAATATCACCATCTCGTGACATATGATAGTTATCATGATATATCTGTTAAATTTTTGTCCAGATCATTTACACAATGTAACAAGTAACTTAATATTTGAAACAGATGTTTTTGCATGATATTAATGATCAATTTGATTTTTTTTTGAGATAAGTATTGTTTTTTGTTTAATTTATTTCAGATAATAAAAAAAATTGTTTTGTTTCAAAAACCAGTAAAAACCATACATAAAATATATCGTGATATATACCCATTTTGTGATATATACCCATATCGTGATATATTAATGCTTGATTGACTTTTTGCAATCCAATGATTAGTCAGAATAATAATTTATCTGATTGACGTCATTGTTGAGACATTCAAATATTCACGTCTGTTAAATGGACGACTCAATGAGATGAAATTCAAACATAGATAATTATGGATACACTCAGATTTGAAGACTCATATTTCGACAGTAAGCTGTGAACATTATTACTGATTAGTTCACATCAATTCACGTTTCTGAGGTATAATTTATTCCATGAAATCTCGCCTCTGTCCCTTTAACCCCTTGAACACTGATTGTGAATAACCAAAAGCGTCATATACCCTGAACTCCAAATAATATGAATCAAAGTGTTAATGTTGTGTGATGTCACTTTGTTCAAGGCTGCTTGACTGGCCGCTTGTTTTTATCATTTAATTATTTCACGTTAAAGTAGTGCTGTTTTGTATATTTCAGAATTATGATATTAAAAAAAATTACCATGACAAGCCATTGATGATCATGGAGAGAGCAGCAACACGTAAGTGCATCTTGTAGAGTAGCCAGAAACTTACATACATTACTTTGATAACTTGCTGAGGCTGTGGTGGATCAGTGAGTTAGACGCTTGATCGCTAACCTGAAGGGCTGACATGGAAAAAGCGTCTAGTTGTTCGCATGAAACAATAAACTGAGGCCCTGTGTGCAACAGGCTGTTCATGTTGAAGATCACTCAACAGTTGGAAATCAAAAAAGAGCAGGCTAATGCTGCTCCTGGCAAAATTTCCCTCATAATACCCTGCAGGCCGTTGTCGTCTACATTAGCTCACATTGTGCAGAAAAGTAGGACCTAAAACTCCATTCATTTCATTTTCATTTGATATATACTTGAAATGTTTTAAGTTATTGTAAAACTGAAACATGGGTCCTAACTGAAAATCACAAATCAAAATTCTTCCATTTAACATCAATTTTTAAAAATATCTTTACAGTACTTAGGTTTGAAATCAATCTTTTTTCCAGCGATATTTGGATGTTTGAACTATGGTGTTCATGTTAACGGATATTTTTATAATGAATCAGGTGACATGATGATGTGGCTAGGTCAAAGGTCACCAACTAAAGCTACCTACCCCAACAAACTGGATAACCTGGTATTTATTCTGTTTACTAAATTCTTTATTTCACAAAACCATTTAGACTGAATTCTACAACAGTCACACCATACTGCGACCATTTGCAATCTTACCAGGGCTGTGTAAAATAATCGTTTATCGTCGCGAGGAATTTATAATTTTGTTTATTGATTATCAAATTTCATAATCTAATAAAAGACAAAGTTACTTTTTCACCACTGTATCTGTTAACAAGTCTCTTAAACATAGTTTCCTTTCAGCACATAACTTACCCACATACTTCTATGATGCAAAAATTACCCAAGAAATTAAGAATTTTGGCATGTTTTTAATTTAAGCATTTTCAGGGTTTCTCAATTGAAATATTTCGATTATTAATCAATTATCGATCGGTGCTCTGTCATCGATAATCCATCTTAATTTTAACCTGATAGCATCAATTTTTTAACCATTCCAATTTTCAATCAGACGTCTGTGGTTTCTGCAATTCCACATCAGGAATCAGATGGAAAATTGAAATATTGCAAATTGATGCTATCAGTGTCCCTGATACAGGTAAAAAAATAAAGAAAACCTCTTTACCATCCCTTTAATCTACAGTGTGCAGGAGGTCTAGCTACTGGTATAGGTATCAAAGATAATATGGTAAAAGAATGTCAAGAAGAAGCCTCCATATCTGATGATATTTTACACAAGTTAAAATCTGTTGGTACAGTCAGGTAAAGGTACTTTATCATTTTTCTTCTTGTATAATTCCTTGATATTCCTTTCTATTTCTCTCTGGGTATAATAGGTATATGTTTTAGCATTAAGTTTCCTAATACCACTGTTGACACTGTACAATCATTCTTCACTAGAACATTCTTGATTCTTTACATAATGTCATTTTCTTGGTAACGTCGAGCAAATGGTGGTTGTGGGTTCTAATCTCAATCGGCGTGTGAAAGTCTGACATAATTCCAGTCGACCCACCTGTAAATGAGTATGGATAATCTGGGAAAGATCATCGCTGAAAGTTTTGGCCTAGGACTGGGGTTCAATTTAAGAAATATCGCATTGTGGCTTGCAATCCAATGTTTCCTATGATTAGCCAAAATCAAAATTCATCACAAAGAATCAAATGTTTTGACAAATCTAGAATATACGGCAACTCTATATCCTTCAGGAACTTAGTCATTGGAAAGATCTTTGATGAATTGTTGTTTCTAATGAATTATCAAGTATAAATGTCCATATATTTACAGTCTGGATAAACAAACAAATAGTTTTTGACCCTTCTTGATTGGTCACTCATCTAATTTAGCTAATTATGAATTAATTATGGACATTTGATACATACTGATATTTTTGCAAGTCATTAGAACACCTCTACTTTCTATTCATATCAGTAATAGCATTTTCATTTTCATAAATGAATATAAGTGAACCAGTTTTTAATTGTGAACCTGAGTCTTTCTTTCTTCTGTTTTTCTTTCTTTCTTTGTCTTTGAGCCACTATTAATCACTAGCTAGTATCTTACTAATGACTTCCTGTTTCTTGTATTTACGATGTTTATATCTTATTATATTTTAGTTACTGTTATGAAGATGAACGAGGTATTTTACCTGAATGTCAATTTGTATATGACCTTGAGTTGACCCCCGATTTTCAACCAATCAATGCTGATGGTGAAGTGGGTGGTTTTCATTGTTATCCAATCAAAAAGGTTGGTACATAGAGTTCCTGGCATGAGAACTGTTTGAAGCTACATTGGAAGTCAAGAGGTTCTATCTTGGCAGTATTAGTCAGTCTAGTTAAAATTAGACCAAACTTTCTGTTTTTTATTAGCTTTTATTGTTAATATAGCCACTTCAATTAAGGTCTTACGACAGCCCTCTTGAACTTTTGTCAATTTAACGTTTTCACCTAACTTGATGATGTTTGCTTTGACCAATCAAATTTCCACCCTCTCGACAACAGCCTTTTAACTTTGATTTGAAGGCTCAAATTTTGCTTGCCGGTGTGCTGTGAACACTAATACTGAATTGGCTTAGCTTAAAAATTCCTGTTTCTGATTCATTTTAAAAAATGGCGCACTTGTCCCTTTAATATAGTTACTACTTCTCATAATGGCCTGATATGTAAATTGAAATACCAATGAAGTTGTTGATATACTGTTAAGTAGGATTAACTATTCTGTTCAAAAATGAGACTGATGTGAATTAAAACTCATTTGTGTTTTGCTAATTTTAGGTTGAAGAATTAATGATAACTGATGAATTTAAACCAAACTGTGCCCTGATAATTTTAGATTTTTTAATTAGACATGGTCTAGTCACTCCAGAAAATGGTATGATACATTCATTATATATGGTCTATATTATGTTTATGCATGTACCACATGTGAATGACATTGTGAAATGAAGTTCATTGTGAAATTATGTTCATTGTGAAATGATATTCATTGTGAAATTATGTTCATTGTGAAATGATATTCATTGTGAAATGATATTCATTGTGAAATGATGTTCATTGTTCATTATGGAAGTATGTTCATAATGGAGTGATGTTCATTGTGAAATGGATGTTTATTGTGAAATGATGTATGATAGCAAAATTTCTTCATGAATCAGTAAGGGCACGATATCAGTCCAATGAAATGTGTAATATAAGAAGAACCCAGTTGTATAATAATACCATACACATTGCTCATAATACTACAGAAATAGCATCAACAACCTACAAGCAAAGTGCCTCTCAACTGACATCTGAAGAAATTGCTGTACAAAATTATTATTTTATGATGATTTCATCTATTTTTCAGAGCCATTTTATACCAGTTTAGTGGAAGGAATCCATAAACCTTTAAGTCAATATTTATAGTACCAAGTGATATAATATCAACCTCATGCTTTCAAAATCAAAATAGCATTAATGAACATTATATGCAGTTATACACCACACCTACTTCCTTTCTAACAATTTCTGAAATATGATTTTCATACATTTTGGCCTCAAAATACGTGTCAGAATGCACCATATCAATTCTATTTTTCAAAAATTTTCTTGAGGAAGGACTCAGTCAGACGCTTCAGTTCCACAGAACTGCCGTATTTTAAATTTCAAACTCGACAGTTGTCCCCGATTAGGTTAGTCTGCCTCTGATGTGTACCCACCCCCAGTCTCGGGAGGCACCAGCATTGATTATACGTGACCTAAAAACAAATCACACATGATTTCCATACAACTGATGATGTGATACTGGTGACAACTTGATGTGATACTTTTTATGTAGAGTTATCAAAGACGGAGATATAAGTAAGGCACATATGAGCCACATAAATCAAACATATTTTCGTCAATATTAATGTAACCTAAATTTTTTTGCCCCCTTGTAGATACAGGTTTGAAGGCCAATTTTTTAAATCAGCATCTTCTTCCATTAATTTTGAAGTAAACTGTCTTAAAAAGGGGAAAATAATTGTAAAATTGTTTTGGTGGTCCAGTGGAGTATTACCGATGAGGCTAGCCCAGGCTTGCACTACCCCCTTGCTGATAATTCTGTGACCCTTTGACTCGACCACTTCACTGTCATTGAAACGCCATCGGGGTGGTTCTCGAAATTTTGCTGATTTCGGAGTTCTGGATTTTGCACAATCACGAATAAGTGTTTGATCTGGCAAAAACGAACGTAAAGAAAATTTAGAATGCAAACATTTTTTATTAATTCTGTACCATCCAAAATACCAATATAACTTTTTTTTCTTATAATTTTCACTGTTTTTCGTTATAATTTGATGTTATAACTTAGTGTTTTAGGGTGTATTGAGACGAGTCTCAATGAAGGCACTGTTAGTGTTTGATTGGTTAGTCTTGAGTTAGATTCTTCTTTGATATCTTTGTTTCCAAAATTTGTATTGCTAATCCCAGACTTTTAGTTGGTGTTTTTGAAGAGAACTAACTTTACCAGAAAATTCCTGTCAGCTATGTGGCCTCGTCTGGTAATATCTCTCAGTGAACTTTGCGTTACATTTTAATCTGGCATTCTGAAATGTTCTTGGACAGATAGTACCCATGTTTTAACATGATTATATCTTGATTCCCCTTCAAGTGATGTACCAGGAATAGATGTTCGACTGTTTGGTACTCGAATAATCTTTGGCTGAAGAGCTCTCGACCATAATGATGGTCTAAAGAGAAATTCATTAAATGGATGTTTACGACTATTGCAATCTACGTTGCTTCTTACACAATTACTTGGTGGTTTCTTTCCCTGTTTTCTGGAGTTCTGATTAGATGGTAGTGGAGGAGGCTCTGGGTTATTTTTTCTAGTATTCAGACCAGATTTATGGTCTTCTCTTTTTCCTTTTGGTGGCATTGATGGTCCATTTCTGTATTTATTGGCATTTTGCTGAGATGGTAGTGGACGTTGCTCTTGAGTATTTACTGTGATGTTCTGTCCAAATCTAGAATTCTTCCTCATCCCTCTTGGTGGCTTTGCTGCCTGTTTTGGTGGTTCTCTCCTGTATTTGCTGTTATTCTGATTTGATGGTAGAGGAGGCTTTGGATCATTCCCTTTGATGTTTTTGCCAGAACTATCGTTTTTTCTTTGTCTATTCGATGGTAAATTGTAACTAAAATTATTGGATCTTTGACGAGATGAACTGGGAAGATTCTGATTGACCCTCATTGTATATTTTGAGGCATTCGTGAGATTTCGTCTGCTGGGCAATACAACATCTGTTGTCTTCTTGCTCGATGATGCCTGGTATTTGTTGTTGGAATATTTCAACACTGCCCTCTTGTCGATGGTTTCCGGAGAGGAACCCGGAGGACTTGATAGCTCGGTTTCCTCCACAGAAGATGAAGGCTCTCTCAGGGAACTATCCACAGAAGTTGTCTCTTGATTGGGTGTTTCTTTTGGGCTTATTTTGTTTTTAAGAAACCTCTGCCACCATTTCTTAGATTGTTTGTTCCCCTTGTTTTCTTCAACGACAAAACATGTTTCCTCGTTACAAATATGCATGTGTTTGTCAATTTGGAAGGATTTATCGTTCTCTTTATTTTGGAACGTCTGAAGGTTATCTGTTGTTAGCTGTGAAACCATTCCGTCTTGAGCTGATAATGCTTCATCTTGATTATTTTCTAAGTTGTTTGGACTAACACCCTCTTCTCCGTCTTGTGATGGACGTTGTCTCGTTCCAATCTCTGGGTAAAGGACTATTTCTTGAGATTTGTCAAATGGATTGTTGAACGCTATGGTTATGTTGTTCCCCATCCTAAAAGAAATAAGTTTGTTTTAGTATTGGAGATTCTAAACTATAACGAATGCGTACTGAGTACTAAAGTTAAGAAGATCTTATCTCATGCTACCGGCAAGTGAGGATCCAACTTAGGTTTACTGAGGACCCAGCGTAGGTTTACTGAGGACCCTGTGTCACAAGACAAACTTCTGCCTTCTATTGATCTTTCCTGGATATTCTCCTTTTAAAACCACTTTTTAAATCCTGTAGAAGTCGACAAACAAAATATTCTTACCTGTAGTAACAAATCTTTAATGTACTAGCACAAAAGTCTTCAAAACAGAAGTATTATTTGTAGAATTTTGTTTTTCTCACAAAGATAGACGTCTGTCTCTAGGATAGCGTTATTCTTTATAACGTTATAGTATTATGACGTCATATTATTTCACTGTTCTTCAGGTTTAACCAATGAAATTAAGATTAGATGGCAACGAGCCCCTTTTTTTAGTTCGAACCCGAAAGATGACACGAGGCATTTTTTATTTTTTTACTCAGGATATTACTTGTTAAACTTAAAAAAGACGTTTCGTATGAAATATCCGAACAGAAAGGTTTTTGTATTTTTATATTGAAAATGAAATAAGTAATAATAGATATGAAACTGAGAATCTCAATCAGAGAATTGGAAAAAGCCATTCTCTGCAACTCTTAGCCGGGAGCCACGGTGGCTCAGTGAGTTAGAAGCTTGCTCGCTAACCTGAAGGTCCAGGGTTCAATCCCGGCATAGGTCGAGATAATACCTACGGATTTTTCAACCCGGTTTCCCCCTGTCAGTGATGCAGGTAAGAGGGGCTGACATGGAAAAAGCGTCTAGTCGTTCGGATGGGACAATAAACCGAGGCCTCGTGTGCTACAGGCTGTGTACGTTAAAGACCCCTTGACAGTCGGAAATCGAAAAAAGAGCAGGCTAATTTCCCTCATGGCACCCTGCATGGCGTTGCCCGTCTTCATTAGCTCACAAGGTGCAGAAGAGTAGGACGTAAAACTCCATTCATTTCATTTCATTTCCAACTCTTTACTTAGCTCTTACTCATTTCCAAATTCAAACATGGTTGCTCATAACTACCGAAGTGTATAGTTGGCATCTGTAGATGTTTTCTGTGTTCAGAATAATAAGTCATCAATGTGATAGGTCTTGATATTTAGTTTCGTGTTTCCTCTGCTGGCTATAACACATACCATCCATGATCTAACGAGATTCTTCTTTCAATCTTATTCTCAGGAAGAAACAAACTTGAAATGAAATGTTTTTAGCCTCTGGTCTCCCATTAGGAGGAGATCAACTCAATTCAGATATCGATGAGGGAAGGACTTTGGCGTTACCCTACACTATCTCAATGTCCAACTGTTATAACTTATTTGCATTCACATCTGTAACATCTTTCATAACTATTGAAGTATTTGGCTTAAAGAATTTCACGTGACATGTAAAAGTATCAACAGTTGCGGCCTCCTGAGACTAGGGGTAAACATAGGGAGCAAACTGACTCAACGGGGGACAACTTTGAAAATTCAAAGACTCTATGGAGGCGACCTTCGTAAACCTCTAATGGAGCGTCTAAGGGGGTTCTTCTAAGAAAATTTACGAGTGAAAAGGGGACAGGGACAGTAAATACAAGAAATAGTAGAGAGGATAAGAAAAGTAAATAGAAAGGAAGAAGAGTCAGGTAAGAAGAACCAGGCAAGAAGAGAAGAATGATGTCTGGCAGTGGGAAAGGAGAGACAAGGGGTGTTGGTGGAAGTAGAAATGTGGAGATAGAAGAAAAGGGTGTACAGAGTTTAGAAAGGAGAAGTGGCGGTGGAGTCGGGAGAGAAGATGCATAAATAGAATATATATATAGATATATATATATATATATATGGAGTTGTGAGGAGAGAAAGTGAGTGGAATGAGAAGCGAGAAGGTCTAAGACAGGACATTCTCTTAAATTAAGAGTTTGCTTTGTACCTCCGTGCTATGCTTCAAATTACAGTGGTCCCGAAGACTTATTATATATCTTCACCGTTCTTGTCACTATCCCAATATGATAGTGATACAGTCATAC